GACGCGGGGCTCGAACTCACGGACCGTGAGATCGTGACCTGGCTGAAGTCGGACGCTTAACCGACTGCGCCACCCAGGCGCCCCTCAGAGAGGTTTAATAGTACAAACAGAACAGAATAAACTTTGCAGACAAGCAGGCACATTTCAGAATTCTCCACCCTCCTCTGTTCATGGTAAGGCTTTGATAATTCTTTGACAGGAGAGAGGTTTGAGTGCCACCATATCTGCATAGTGGCTTCAAACTATCATGGGATCAAATATCACTGTGTAGGGGTTTATTACAAAACCATGTAGCCTACGCTTTCCAGGTGATCGATAGGCTATTTAAGAGTGATTTTGGCTATTTGTGGTTTTGTTTTGTTTTTTTCTCCTCACGCCCTGACTTTGGAATTTAATCCCACAGAAGGTGCAAGTCCTCTCTCTGTACAAGGCGTAAAATATGCCAAGATTGGCACAGGATAAGGCTCTCAGGAGGGGGGGATCTAGGTGGAATGTGTCACATGGCATCCTCTCTGCCACCTGGCAGGCTCCTATCAGCATTCCATTGTCTCCTACATCCTGTGTCCTATCTTCTCAGGCAAGAACTCACATTCCTTTATGACCTTATCTCCCACAGCAGCTCCAACCCTTCCCTCGGACTGCAGGGGCTCAGCTTGAATTTTTATAACAGTAATCGAACCTCGGTTGCTTGGTGTTTTTCCGTTAACAAAGTGCTTTCATCCACATGTTTCATTTGATCCTGACAGAAAACTTGTGGGATTATTAACTCTCCTTCAGAGGGAAGATAGCTGAGGCCCAGAGAGGACAAGTGACTTGCCCAAAGAAATGGTCTTTCGCTTGCTTGCTTTCTTTCTTTCTTTCTTTCTTTCTTTCTTTCCTTTTCTTTCTTTCTCTTTCTTTCTTTCTGTTTCTTTCTTTTCTTTTTCTTTCTTTTCTTTCTTTTCCTTCCTTCCTTCCTTCCTTCCTTCCTTCCTTCCTTCCGTTTATTTATTTTGAGAGAGAGAGAACCAGCAGGGGAGGGGCAGAGAGAGAGGGGGACAGAGGATCCAAAGTGGGCTCTGTGCTGACAGCCGAGAACCCACTGCGGGGCTCAAACTCATGAATTGAGAGATCGTGACCTGGGCCAAAGATGGACACTCAACCGACTGAGCCACGCAGGCACCCCATAAATGCTGTTTCCTAATGACTGAAGCTCAGATCCAATTTTTCAGAGTCTAAGTCACAGTGGCTTTTCTAGAACATAAGTGATACTGATTTGCACTCTCTACTTTTTGTGTCGATTATAGATTCCGTGTGGCATAGCTCAGGGTCTCTGCTTCCGTGGACTCTTCTTATCCACGGGATCCCAGTGCATAAACACTGACGTGGTTGTTATAGCTACAAATCTAACACATGCACAGTTACTAGTGAGGCACAAGTATTAATCACTTGTATGAGCCTGAAGATAAGAACCTAGGACAGTTGTCACTCTTTCCTTATTACCAAATGGCAGTGGCAGCCACTACCACTGCTTTTCTTTTCTTTTCTTTTCTTTTCTTTTCTTTTCTTTTCTTTTCTTTTCTTTTCCTTTCTCCCTTCCTTTCTCTCTTTCTTTCTTTTCTTTCTTTCTCATTCCTTCTTTTTTATTTCTTTCCTTTCTTTCCCCCCGCCTCTCTCTTTCTCTTTCTTTTCCCTTTCTTCCTCTTACTATTCCTCCTCCTCCTTCTCCTCAGTGTTTAAGGGCTAAATGTTTCTGCACACATTATCTCACTTAATCTTCTTAATAAAACTGAGAATTCTTATCCCTGCAGTAGAAAAATGAAATTCAGAAAGATTAATTTGCCCAGGGCTCCACAGCTAGTAATTAGCAGAAGGAGCATTTGAAAAAGCAAACACACACTTGGCCAGTACCCTACTTTGTGCTGAAGCCTGTCCCAAACGTGAAGCAGACAAGGATGGATGTGGCCCCTGCCCCAGCGAGCGCAGGGCTAGTTAGAGTGACAACACAGGTCACACCCTCACAATGCAGAAAGGGACGAAATGGAGGAGTGCAAGGGAAACTTCTCTGAGGAGGTGACATGGGCTGGTTTGGGGACATGGGCAAAGGTGTGCCTTCCAGATAGGAGAAGCATATTTCAGGCAGAGAGAAGAGGAGGACTTGAGACAACCATGAAAAGGCCCAACACGCTCAGAGAATGTCTGTTCACTGCAAGCCTGAAGCTCGGGGTGAATGTGGGGGAGAGCAACAGAAGGGGACACCACCTGAGGACGTGGTTGACAGGCAGACCAGAACTTTGGGACCTCAGGGACCAGCAGAGGACTTCAAGCAGGACATGCCACCGCCACCTGGGATTTCTAGGACGATTGTGATGTCAGTGATGTAGAGGATGAGGACATGCTCAGTAAGAAGAGACAAAAGTCGGAGATTGGAGTAATAATCCTTATAAGGTTATCACCAGTGAGGCAGTGGAACTGGGCTCCAAAGGACACAGATTTCAGAGATCTGAGATGGAATCATCAGGATTAGGTGTGAGGAAATAGGGGGCAGGTTATTGAGTTGGACTCCAAGATTTCCAGTTTGGGGCACAAAATTCAGGGCTCCTCAATGCCATAGGAATAGCCTAGGTTGGGTTTGTTTGTTTGTTTGTTTGTTTTTCCCTCAGAAATGTTTGTTGGCAATCTTGTTAAAAGAGCAAAGACAGTTGGAGTGCCTGGGTGCACAGTCGGTGAAGCATCCGACTTCAGCCAGGTCACGATCTCGCGGTCCGTGAGTTCGAGCCCCGCGTCGGGCTCTGGGCTGATGGCTCAGAGCCTCGAGCCTGTTTCCGATTCTGTGTCTCCCTCTCTCTCTGCCCCTCCCCCGTTCATGCTCTGTCTCTCTCTGTCCCAAAAATAAATAAACGTTGGAAAAAAAAAAAAAGAGCAAAGACAGTTAACTTTCTCTGTCATGAGAACCATACTAAAGAGGCCTCCTAGAAGGAAAAAGAAACCTAGGACATTTTGAGATACACCCTCTTGCCTTCCTTTGAAGTAGGACCTCCTCCCATCCAAGGTCTTCCTTTCTAAGACAATTGGCTACCTCTACCTTGACCCTGAGCTGCTGAAAGGGAAGCAGCTGGCACAAGGCATGGGGACAGCCACAGAAGGGAGAACCAGAGGAAAGGCCAAGGACGATAGCAGTGGGGGAGGGACAAGGGACACGGCCAAGCACAGCACTCCCCCCTCTGGCTGTAACCCTGCCTGCTCCCTGGGGAAGGTGAGGTGTGGCGAGCTCTTTCACACCAAAACACAGAAGTGAGTACAATAAATGTTCTGCCTGGACTTTCAGTTTAGACCATCTGCATTTGTACTTCAGAGATTGCTCATCAGCAAGGAACCCCGTAAGCTACTCTTGAACACATTCCCTAGAGCTGAAAGCCACACTGACCGGGGGATGTGGGCTTACCCCCTGGGGTTTCCAGCTTTCAGGAAGCACGAAACACTCATGGATGTCAAGCAGCTTCGCTCTTCGCCTGACTGGACTTAGGGACCAGTCACACCCCTGCCACATACCAGTGGGGTCGTCTTGGGCAGTGCATTGACCTCTCAGCTCTTCCTCTGTCAGATGGGGTAACAGCATGCTCTACGTCACAGATTCAGGCAAGAATGAAAGAACACGATGCACAGAAAGCCTTTGGCACAATTACTGCCACATGCTGTTTGCTAAACATTCAGCCTTATTATTCATTTTTGTGAATATAACTCATTACCATGAACAGATTACGCATTAGAGCTTTCTGAAACGTTATGCTTTCATAATGATTTTGTGATTTAATTCCTATCTTTTCATCCAGTCACATGAAGGCTCAAAGAGACTATTCCCTTTATCATGGTACAGGTAAACCTTAATTGACAAGCTATTATAAATATGTTGTATAAATCAAATGTAATAAATAAGTCATATTTCAAATATACCGAAGGGATATGATCACTCAACATAGGGAGTTCGTGTAATGATTAAGAACATTAGCTGCGGAGTCAGACAGACCGAAGACCAAATCCAGGCACTTTCGTTCACTCGCCTCAACCTCTTAATCTGTGTATATGTTCGTTCGTTCCGTGAGCGTTTTGTGGAGGCTATACTCTATGCAAGGCCTCGTTCAAGTAAAAGAACACCTCCTTGTGGGATTCAGAAAGATGATGTAAAGCACGTGGGCAGGACCAGTACGTGACAGTTGCCATTATTTATCGATCACTCCCTGTGCTGGAACTGGGGACCGTGTTAGGAGACACGGTCTCTGTCCACATGGGCATACAGCCCTGAAAAGAAAAACAGGAAAATGGACAGACGGTGATAGCACAGGGTCCTAGGTGCTCTTCCAGAGGAAACACAGAAAGCTGGGAGGCACAGAAGGGCTACCCACGTCAGCTGAGGGCAGGAGGAGGATCGGGGAGTTTGTCCCAGGGGATGTGACCCCAGAACAAGCCAGGCAGAGTGGGCCAGGCAAAGCATTCGGGAGCCCCTCTTCTTTCCGTCAGCTGTCTCTGTTGCTTTCAAGAGGTGAGTCTCATGAAACCCATGGCTTTCTATACGGATATGGCGGGATTACTACAGCTCAGATGGAAATACCCTTCACAATAATGGGATGCTTTAAAACTCCAGTCAAGTGGATTTAAACTGCCTAAGCTCTCCTTGCTTCACAGAATGTGGGAACATGATTTTCTCCACAAAAAATTAGGGCCCACTGTCTCGTGGGGTTGGGGAGCTGGCCACAACAATCATTGCCAACATCTCGGGGAGCCTCAGGCCCTGAGAATCTGGGAGGAGAGAAGAAGGGTCTGGAATGCGTATTTATGGTGGTTTGTGGGGGGTGAGGTGGGTGGAACTGAGAGGATTTCTTTCTCCAGGTGCCCCAACTCCACCCTTACTTCCAAGGCTCCCCCGTGAGCATTTCACCAATTTCGCCACCAGGAGGTGCTGTCATCCCATCTCTGCACAAACTCTTGCAGAGGGAAAAAAAACTCAGGATCGCCAATTGCTTCATCTTAGAATCCTTTCTTTATAAAATGTGCCTGGAAAATAGTGTGTCTTCACGACTTTCTATAGTCAAGTTTGAAAACTGTAAAGATAGACAGGACTCCATCGAAAAATGCGGAACAGAAAGTTGAGTGTTTACAAGTAATTACAATAAAAGGAAGTTTTCCACAACGGTACATAACATACAGTACATGATCTTCGTGAATCTTCACAATTGTGAGGTTGTTCTCAGCCCATTTTATAGATGAAGAACTGATGCTATGGGGGTGGGGGGAAGTAACTTGTATGAGGAATACACAGAGAGTAAGATGAATGCTTGGATTCAAACCCAGATTCAACTCAATCCAAAATACCAGTCTCTTTCCTTTAGACCACACTGCTCAGGTTAAGTAAAATAATAAAGATACTAGCGTTTACTGAGCACTTACTATATGTTAGGCACTGTCCTAAGCACGTCACTAGTGTTAGTTCAGGTAATTGTCACAACAACCCTACAATTTAATGATATTATTCCCACTTTACAGATAAGTACACAAGTCACACAGTTAATGAGCAGCTATGGAAAAGTGAATCAATGCTCCAAACAATGCAGTGTTTTACTTTTAAATCAAGAGCAAAATGCTCCTTCTTTCCTTTATTCCTTGTGCTCTATTAAACTCCAGGGTATCTGCCATCATTCCAAAGATTTTTGAAAATCTTAATATGGCATGTATTTAAAATGAGCACTGATGCACTGGGGAATTTGTCAGAAACAGGAGTAGATGTTAATTTAGTAGCCAGAAGGAGTTTCCCATGGAGTCCTTGAAAGGATAGAGGACACATAAAGGCAGAGGTAGAGACCAATTTGTGGCTCTAAGAATGTGAGAAAAAATTATAGTAATCCACAGCATTTATCCACTTTTACTCTTGTTTTTGTCTGAAAGACAATAGGTTTCCCATTTCTCCTTCAAGACACAATGCCCTTTATATTGTAGTAAACTCCTAATATATATATATTTTTATAAAATATTGCAGTTTCTCCTGTTTCAAAATTTTATAAACTACGTATTAAGGCAGCAGATTATTTTTTTTAATTAATTAAATCTTTTTGCATGCGGAATCCCTACATGTTAACAAAAATACAGTTGAGCAAAATTCGCAATTTGGCTAGAATTAGGCCTTCAAACATTAAGCTCTTCCCTTTAAGTGTCCCTTTGACATAACTGTACTTTACAAGGCCACTAGACTTGACAGATAATTTTGTCAAAAGCCCAAATGGTCCCTAACAACAACTGGCAGGATATGGCCATGAACATTTGTAAGAGTCTACTCCCAGGGTATCTTCATTTTCCCAGTCCCCTCATAGATACTGGATTTACCCATCCTTTTGGTCCCCTCACAAAAATCACTCTGTCACTCAGTACCTATGCAACCTAGGGGTAAGCCACTTAACCTCTCTGTGCCTCAATGCCCTTATTTGTGAAATGGAAGGTTCCTCATTAGGTTTCTATGAGAAGGGTCTCATAAGGCTTCTATGCGGAAAAAAATGAGTTGATATGTGTACAACATTTAGAGCAGAGTCTGGCACATAGTATATATTTAATAAAAATGTTAGATGTTGTTTTTAAAATTATTATTATGGGATAGGTTTCCTTTTATTTTTTCTCTTTTTAAATTTATTTATTTTTTTTATTTTTTATTTAAAAAAAAAATTTTTTTTTCAACGTTTATTTATTTTTGCGACAGAGAGAGACAGAGCATGAACGGGGGAGGGGCAGAGAGAGAGGGAGACACAGAATCGGAAACAGGCTCCAGGCTCTGAGCCATCAGCCCAGAGCCCGACGCGGGGCTCGAACTCACGGACCGCGAGATCGTGACCTGGCTGAAGTCGGACGCTTAACCGACTGCGCCACCCAGGCGCCCCTCTCTTTTTAAATTTAATAGAGATAGAGTATGTGTGTGAATGGGGGAGAGGGGCAGAGGGAGAGAGAGAGAATCATAAGCAGGCTCCACGCTCAGCTCAGAGCCCAAGTGGGGCTTGATCCAATGACCCTGGGATCATGACCTGAGCCAAATCAAGAATCAGATGCTCAACCAACTGAGCCACCCAGGTGCTCCATTATGGGACATTTCTCTTATGGAGCTTATGTTTGGGATGGAAAGTATTGCAAAAGAAAAATCATTATGGTGTCTTTGTAGCCCAGCATATTGCATATGTTTTACAAATGTCTCCTTTCTTCTCCATATTTTGGACAGGGATTACCTCAATGATGAGGCGTTATGGAGCAAGTGCCGGCAGCCTGCCGATGTGGTTCCCTGGCATCTGACCCTCTTCTCCATCCTGCTGGTCATAGGAGGAGTCCAGATGCTTCTCTGTGCCATCCAGGTGGTCAACGGCCTCCTGGGGACCCTGTGCGGAGACTGCCAGTGTTGCAGCTGTTGTGGGGTGAGTTGAGGTCCTGGTCCTTTCTCTTTGGCATGCTCAGGAGGCCAGGGTAGGCCACCAGCACTAATGGGGAGAGGGTGGAGACAGCAGTAGCTGCAGAAAAACCAGGCTGGAAAGGCCAGGCAGCCCTCTCTACCAGCTCAGTGTGGCTGACCCAGGCTGACGTGGACCAAAGTTCTCAGTCTCAGACCCAGTTGACCACGATCCTGGAGGCAGAGGACTCTAAATACATGTAGAAGTTTACAATAATGTTTATTATTATTTATACGAAGACCCCCAGGAATTGGGCATTTGTCATACACATGTATTGTCAATAACATGTCATGGTCTGGCCCAAAACGTTCTCACTATTCCCTAAATAGATCTAGACAGTGGATGGAAGTTGCCAAGAAATACATGGAACACATGTCAGGGCATTTTCTTTTCCCCGGAAAAGAACAGAACATACCAATGCAAAACCTAACACTGGATGAGATTTCTGATATAGAAGAAAGAAGTGGTTCTCATGCAGGGCAGGAAAAAAAGGAAATCACTGAGGATTTAGTCTTCAAGTATGATTATAAATTATCAACGATATAAAAAGTAAAAATAAACGTATGGCCTGCAAGACTGTGATTATTTCAACTAGTGACCAAACCAGATCAGGCAATTGTTCAGACACACACAGACTTATTTAAAAACACAAACTGACATATGAGGAAAAATTAAACAGAACTTGAGAGTCCCATAATTGAGGAACTATGTAAATAAATATATACTGTGACCTATCTATTTAATACAATATTATGTCCAAATTTTATTTTATTCTTTTTTTTTTAGTTTATTTATTTATTTCAAGAGAGAGACAGAACATGCATGTGGGGGAGGGGCAAAGAGAGAGGGAGAGGGAGAATCCCAAGCCAGCTCCACACTGTCAGCACAGAGCCCCATGCGGGGCTCAAACTCACAGACTGTGAGATCACGACCTGAACCGAAAACAAGAGTCAGACGCTTAACTGACTAAGCCAGCCAGGCGCCCCAGTTATGCCCAAATTTTAAATGTTTCCAATAATTTTCTTTAAATTTCTAACAAGCATTATATGTACACAGGTCAAAAATTAAGTCTGTGTGTCAGAAACATACAGCGGTATTCAGTTGGAAAGCCTGCCCTGTCTTCTACCTACCCAGTTCCTCTCGGTCTCTACCTGATTCCTTCTATAACCTCTCAGAGTTTCTTCGTTATTGTTTTTATTCACCCTCCCTGAAAAAGATTTTTAAAACTGTAATAATACTGAAAATGCTTATGAGATAGTGTTATTTAAAAAGAGCAAGATACAGAGGCGCCTGGCTGGTTTGGAAGGGCATGTGACTCTTGACCTTAAAGAATTGTGGGTTCAAGCCCCACACTGGGTATAGAGATTACTTAAAACTAAAATCTTAAAAAAATAATAAAAATAAAAAAAGCTAGATAAAAAAAAGTATACAAATAAACAACCATGTAAATAAGAAAAAAACACTATGAATTGAAAAGAAACCTAGAGGAAATCCAACCCAAATATTAAATGATGGGTAAGAAGGAAATGACTTATTTCCTTCCTTCTAGCTTATATTATTCAAAAAAAGGTTTAACAATCATAAATTTTAAAATATACAAAATATAAATAAAAAGGTCCCCAAAATTAACTGTAAAATGCATGTATTACAAATAAATTTCACTGAGTATTGGGTCTTTTGTTCTGTAAATTTTCAGTTCTATCATGTTGTATTTAAATTTTTTGGTCTTTAAACACAAATGAGAAGAAAAGAAAACTACCAGTGAGTAATCCATCAAAATCATTTTTATGATAGAAGTGAAGACTATTGAACATCTAAATCTTATGGGTCATCCAAAATGAATTCATGCTTGCTAAATCATCTCATTTCAAACACTTTCATTATTTCCTTTTCTGACACAGAAGAGAATCATGTATTTAATTAGGAAGCAAATTTTCATTGCAAGATTTATTAGAAATATAGCTGCCCTTTACATAGAAAATAGTTTATTAAATTTGAGGATTATCTATAAATTTAAAAAATATGTCCATAGGTGCCAGTACATTGACTTTTTTCAGTGAGTGTCATCTGTACAAACACTATATTTTAACAATTTTAACAAGTAAATCACTTGATAGTCAAAAGACAGTAGATGGACTCCATAGCTGTCAGTGCATGTGAATCGGAGAATCAGAAGGTGAATATACACCTCCTGAATACCCCTCCCTCCCTCCCTTCCTTCCTTCTTTCTCTCTCTCTCTTCCTTCCTTCCTTCCTCCCTCCCTCCCTCTATTTCTTCTTCCTTCCTTCCTTCTTTCCTTCCTTCCTTCTTTCTTTCTCTCTTCCTTTCCTTTCCTTCCTTCCTTCCTCCCTCTATTCCTTCCTTCCTTTCTTCTTTCCTTCCTTCCTTCCTTCCTTCCTTCTTCCTTCCTTCCTTCCCTTCCCTTCCTTCTTCTCCAATTTTTATTTGAAAAACTTCAACTGTACATAAAATTTAAAGGAACAGTAAAATGAACACCTGTATAATTTCACCTAGATCCACAAACTGTTCATATTTGCTTGCTCTCTCTTTCTGAACCACTGGAAAGCCATTTGCAGGCATGAAGAACCTTCACTACCAGATATTTCAGTGCACACGAGAGCTGCATTTTTTAACGATCAGTCTGCTGAGGATTCCTTTCTTGCTGGCAGCTTGCCTCTCGTACAGCTGGTCAGCATCCCCTGCAGCGAGCGTCCCACTGTGGGGGGACTTGCGCTCACGGCCTAGTTCCACAACCTCCTAGCTGAGTGACCCCACCAAGCTTCCTAACTTCTCAAGTCTTAGTTACCCCAACTGCCTCTTGCCGAGCTTTTACGGAAAGCGTGCAGATCCATCCGTTCAAGCAGAAAGTATTTATTGAGAGATTTCTGAGCCTGGCACAGTCCTTAAATGAGGTAATAGATGGAAACGTGCCTTAAATACAAGCTATGAGATCGGGGTTGAGTGCCAGCTGTGCAGTCTTGGCAAAGTCAGCTGCACGCAACTGTTTCTTTGTCTGCAAAATGCGGTTTTTAAACCTATTTCCTAAGGTTGCTGAGTCTAACACAGGGTGATAAATATGCATCAACATCAACGGCCAGAAGGCTCAGGCCATTGTACTGATTGTTCTTTACTAAGGTATGAAAATTGGTGAGGCAGTGCTGCTTCAAGGAAAGGGGCACAGTCTCTGGGATCAACCTGCCTGGGTTCAAATCCAGGCTCCTCTACTTCTTTGTTGTGGCTTTGGATACTCACTGAAGCTCTCTGCACCTCTTATCAAAAAATTTTTTGGGGCGCCTGGGTGGCTCAGTTGGTTGAGCGGCCGACTTCGGCTCAGGACACGATCTCGCAGTCCGTGAATTCGAGCCCCGCGTCGGGCTCTGTGCTGACAGCTCGGAGCCTGGAGCCTGCTTCGGATTCTGTGTCTCCCTCTCTCTCTGACCCTCCCCCACTCATGCTCTGTCTCTCTCTGTGTCTCAAAAATAAACATTTTCAAAAATAATAATAAATGGTACAAAATAAATTGAAGCCTCACCTCTTATAACCTAAAAACAGGCAAGTGACAGATTAAAGCTCTGAAACAGGAAAGTATTGAAAATATTCAATAGGTAACTAATACCGGGTAGGAATAATCAGGACGAAGGGGGGGGGGGGAGGGGAGGAGAGAAGAAAGCAAAAACAAAACAAAAAAAGAATGATGTCATAATTAACTTTTCTACCTTCTAGGGAGATGGACCAGTTTAAATCTCCTTGGTGAGCTGTTCTAACTCGACGGCAGTTGGGACGTTACACTAAACTCATTCTTCTTTCTGGGGTTGGCACTCCCCATCTGCTTCCCTGACAAAGTTTAGGGACAGCGGAACTATCCTTTCCACTTTCCAAGACAGCTTAGCTCACGGCTTAGCTCAACTTAGATGTTTATGCTATTTTCAAATAAAAAATAGTTTGGCCACTTCAGTGAGGTTGCCAAATCTTTCAAATTAGCTTCCTTTTAGAATTGAAGAACAGGTTCAAAGCAAATTTTTCATGATTTTTCTTTTCTAGTGAAAGATATGTAAAGTCACATGTACTGCCACACTGCTTCTTTGTATATAGAGCTGTTTATATCTCTGGAAGTTTTACATAATTCATAGGAGAGGAGCCCATTAAAAATGAGAAACTAAGACCAGTGTTTGTTTTCAAGATTGATGAGGAAAACAGAATGACTGATGTATTCTACATAATTTTATTTAGTGTCTTTTTGGCTAACATATTTGAATCACCTGTGTCTAGTCTTTGATTTTTCTTATGTATATTAAATTAAATCATAATTCAGAGGTAATATAATAAAGATTGTGTGTGTTTGGGAAGGAGGGGGAAAGACTGAATGAATACTACACTTTCTTCATCTTTTCTGCAAATGGCTTCTTTTGATCCAACAAAAAACAATGTTTTAGAAAAGCTGACTTGGGTAATAATTTTGTCAGCGTATGACCAGGATGAAGGTAATAGGTATTATTAATTCTATGTGTTATATTACGAGATTAACTTTGGTTTTATGAATCAGGCACCATCAGTCAAATCCATTCTGTTGATTTGATCTCCACCACACCAGCTTGGGAATCCTGGGAAAGTTATTTCTTAAGTCTCAGTTTCCCCAGCTGCAAAAGCACTGCTGAAAGGCAACCAACCATCCAAGAAATTTGGAAGCTCCCCCAGGGTGAAACAAGGAGGCCTGTGGGATTGTCAACATGACTGATGTACAGTAAAAAGCGTCTCAGAAGAGGTACAAGCCAGAGTCTCACTTCTGTACCTGCCAGGCTCTTAGGCTACACTATGTAGGATAGGCACACTGAACCTAGGTTTGCCACAGTCATCAGTAAAGCAATTAACAATTTCCCACTCAGCGTTGGCCATAGGGCCCTGGAGACATGGAGTTTACACACTCTGATTTTGCCCTTGCTACAGTGAGAACTCTGAGATCAGAGACCACATCTTGTACTATTTATAGGCAGAAGGAAGAAAGGCGAGCAGATAGGCACTTAAGATCCTACACCGAGGGTCCCTGGTGGCTCAGCTGGGTAAGCGTCTGACTCTTGATTTCAGCTCAGGTCATGATCTCACGGTTTGTGAGTTCGAGTCCCACATCAGGCTCTGCGCTGACAGTGTGGAGTCTGCTTGGGTTTCTCTCTCTCTCCCTCTCTCTTTGCCCCCGACGTATGCGTTCTCTCTCTCAAAGTAAATAAGCTTTAAGATCACACACACACACAGTTTCAAGTTGGCGTAGAACACTGGTTCTCAAATTTGATTGTCAGAATCACTTAAAAAATGTCCTGAAATTACAATTCCTAAGCCCCAGCCTATACCTACTGCATCTGAAAATCTAGGCATATGGCATAAAAGCCTATATTTTGTCTATTACTGAGTGTTAAAAGCCTTTCAGGTGATGCTAAAAACCAGCCAGTTTGAGCAACCGTTGACTTAGACAGACTACAGACTGACAGGCACCAAGGATGAAAATGAGTCAGACCCTATTACAGCCCACCAGGAACTCACCCTCTAATGATTAATGTTAATACAGTGTAGTACGTACTAAATCCTATAAAGGGTGACATAGGTAATTATGGTCCAGAGGTTCAGAGACATCAGGCCATTAGGACGGATTCCCCTACCCAAGTTATTTGATGAGGAAATAAGAATGTAAAGGGGCACCTTAGGGGGTTCAGTTGCTTAAGCATCTGACTCCTGATTTTGGCTCATATCATGATTATCATGGTCCTGGGATCCAGCCTCTCTCGTGTTGTTGGGCTCTGTGCTGAGTGGGGGGCCTGCCTGAGATTCTCTCTCCCTCTTCCTCTGCCCCTCCCCTGCTCAAGCTTGCTTGTGGGGGAGCATGCATGTGCACGCTTTCTCTCAAAAAAAAAAAAATGTAGGGACGCCTGGGTGACTCAGTCAGTTAAGCATCCAACTTCAGCTCAGGTCATGATCTCATGGTTTGTGAGTTTGAGCCCTGAATCAGGGCTGGGATTCTCTCTCCCTCTCTCTCTCTGCCTCTCCCTCACTCGTGCTCACTCTCTCTCAAAATGAATAGACTTAAAAAAAAAAAAATGTAGGGGCACCTGGGTGGCTCAGTGGGGTAAGCGTCCGACTTCAGCTGAGGTCATGATCTCACAGGTCTTGAGTTCAAGCCCCACGTCAGGTTCTGTGCTGATAGCTCAGAGCTTGGAGCCTGCTTTGGATTCTCTCTCTCTCTCTCTCTCTCTCTCTCTCTCAAAAATAAAACATTAAAACAAATTTTTAAATATAGAGAAGAGCAATCGATTCCTTATTTAGTGGTTTTCACTGATTCACAACTTTAAAAATGAAGAAACTGTAGTCATCATCAAATCTGATCTCATTACTATATAGGTGAAGAGCTAAAACAATTCTTTGACAAGTTTTCACACAAAAGGCCATTCTTTGAGTCCAATTACCATAAAATTAAAAAAAAAAATAGCTTACCATGGATTAGAGGGCTTATAGGAAGAGACAGGAAACAAAGGGTAAAGACGTATGGGCCCCTCCTTGGTGGATCCTCCTACACACACACACACACACACACACACACACACACACACACACATTTGGTCATAAGACTGTCTCAAAGCTTCTCTTCAGCGAGTTGCCAATTTTGTGTTGATTTCACAAATATATGACTTAATTCTTTATTCTTTGGACTACAGATTCTTTGAGGCAAGGACAGTGTCTGATTCAAGTCTGCACCTCCAGTGCCTAGTACACAATCAATAAATTTGTTGTGTCAGTGGAGCGATATACATATATGCAGCCATACACACACACACACACACACACACACACACACACACACACAAGAACTTGCCCTTGGCAATTGTGGGAGCTAGCTAGCAGTCTCTGAAAACATGTTGCCTTCACGTCTGAGGCTGGAGCTCAGGTCCACAGGTCATGCCGGCAGGAAGAAGAGATGAATGTAGAACGTGAGACAGTGAGAATGAGCTGAAACCCACATGAGCTAAAGCCGAGAAGGACAGACAAAACCCATGTCAGTTCTCGTTGCCTCTGGCTTTGGTGGTAAGGGCGTCCTGCGGAAGCCAGGGCCCTTTGTCACAGAGCTAAATACCCCCCCACCTGGCCCAGGGGTCTGCGAAGCTGCAAGGGATCCTGGGGGAGCCTGTAGGGCGGCCTTAGGGCCCAGTTGCTGCTCTGTGTCAGTGAGGGGGGCAGTGGACTGGCAATGGTGTGGATGAGCTACAAAACGGTGCTGCCTCCCCTCTGCCCTCCAAAGCTTGCCCGAGTTGTACTCGGGGTGTCCTCTAACAGGAAGCATAGACAAAGGCAGTTTGGGTAATGGAGTTTGGCTTAGCCAAGTTGACATGTTACAAAGCCACCGTCACCAGTTTAGAGAGAGGAATGGTTCTTTCGTTTTCTTGTGTGTGTACATATACTATCTCTTAGCGTGGATCAAAGTTTCTCAGGCTCTACCCAATTGACATTTGGCACCAGATGATTATCAAGGTGGGGAGAGCAGTCCTGAGCACCATACGATGTTAACAGCTTCCTTGACCCCTCCCTAGGGGATCTAATAGCAACCTCTTCTCCTCAGTTTGACAAGCAAAAATATCTCCAGATATCACCAGATACCCCTTTGGGGGACACACTCATCCACAGTTGAGAATCACTGGTCTAGATCATGTGCTGCTTGAGGAGAAGAACCATTAGTTCTTTTTCCTGGAAACCAACGCGGTGTTTTACCCGCGGAAAGTGCTCAGTAATTAGTAGTTGAAGGCACCCATATGTGCATAAAGAAATATTTGCCTATCACCAAAGTGACACACATACATTTAAAAGAAGGTGCTCAGCTCCTTAAATGTTTGAGTTCTGACTTCAGAGCACTGCTTTTCTTGGTCTAAATACTCTCCCAGATGATCTTCGCTGCTGTGGGTTTTGGTTTTTTTTTTTAATGTTTATTTATTTTTGAGAGACAGAGAGACAGAGTGCAAGCAGGGGAGGGGCAGAGAGAGAGGGAGACAGAATCCGAAGCAGGCTCCACGCTCCGAGCTGTCAGCACAGAGCCTGACGCAGGGCTTGGTCTCATGAACCACGAGACCATGACCTCAGCCAAAGTCAGACACTTAACTGACTGAGCCACCCAGGCGCCCTTCACTGCTGTGGTTTTAATGACCAAGTTCATGACTCCTGTATCTTTATCTCCAGCCCAGACCCCTGCCCTGCCTGCTAAATATCTGTTCTTGAGCATTTCATTCGCATCTCAAAGCAACAATTCTGGGCTGAACTCTTCCAGTCCTCCATGCATGGCTGTCTTGAAACCCTGGTGTCAGAGAGTGCCATCGTCTGCATCAAGCAGACACAGAACTACAGGAAGGACGCTCCTAACTGCAGCCCCTACTACGCCCCTGCCCTTTCAGTGGCTTTCATCACACAGCTCCCACTGGCCTCACCAGACCCAGTATCGCTGTGCCCAGGATCTGGGAATCCTTGTCCTTGGCCCCCCACACTCTTTCAAACCCTGTTCTTGAGTATGCTGTCCCATGTGTGTGGGAATGTTCTTTCCCTCCTGTTCATCAGGGTAAAAGCTTCTTCTCCTTCCAGACACCATTCAGGGCTCATGTTGTCCAGGTTCTTCATTCCTGATAGTCCCCCCAGTTCATCGACAGCCCCCTCACACTCTCCCATAGCATCCTGTACACGTCAGAATGGCTGCCCTTCCCCACATAACATTTCCTTCTTTCCCTCTGGACTGAGAACCCCTTGAGCTCAGAAACTTCATCTCATCCATGTTTGGACCTCTCCCCAACCCTGGGCCCGGAACCTAGGAAATGTGCACTGGATGGATGCTATCATTGTCGTGACGGTGTGACTGAATTATTCTGCTCAGGGCAAAGAAAGAGCTCCCCCCAACCATTTGAGAATCAAGCATCTGGAATAATAATAATAATAATAATAATAATAATAATAATAATAATAATAAAATAACCCCAGCATTTCTTGGTAACACCCAGAGTAATATACATGCATAATTTCACTGAGTCCACAAAACAACTGACCAAGTGCTCACAACTGTGCATGCCTCACATGAATGCTGCTTTGTCTTTCCCCAGCTTTAGAGAGGCTCCTCTCCTCCCTGAAGGCCCCTGAACTCTGCTTG